TGCGGGTGTACATCGAGATCTTCTCTGGCCGTGGCGAACTTGGAAAAGCTCTGGCGCAACAATGTGGAGGTGTCGTCATGTTGTGGGATCTCCGGCTCGGCAGCCAGTATGATCTTCGTCATCCGGCACGCCGCGCGATGATCTGTGGGTGGATAAGAGCCGGGCGGATTTCCGGTGTTCATTTGGGCACCCCGTGCGAAAGCTTCACCCGGGCTCGTGATGCCCCGCCTGGTCCTTGCCCGCTCCGAAGCAATTTGCAGCCATTGGGACTCCGTGGTCTTTGCCCTGCCGATCAAGTCAAAGTTGAGCTGGGCAATTTGTGGATGCGCTTCTCTGTCAAAGTTGTGCTCTTGTGCTGGAAGTTGCGGCTTAGCGCGACTCTGGAAAATCCCCTTACCTCCCGTTTCTGGAGGTGCCCCCCTGTGCAGCAATTGCTACGCCGGCCACATGTGGGCCGCTGGACAACCCATTACTGTGCATGGGGAAAGCCCTTAAAAAAACCCACCGCTTTTCTGGGGGTCCACATCGACCTGTCTGTCCTCGAACTACACAAGTGCCGTGGCAAGCGCATATGTGACTTCACTTTGCGACCGCATGTGCCGCTGCAGGGGCGCACAGCAGCAGGACAATGGCGCACCAAGTGGGCTGAGCCCTATCCCACCCGCATATGTGCTGCGATTGCCAAAGCATTTTACAATGCTGAAGTGGCAGTCCTAGCGCGGAAGTTTGAGCAATGCTATGCTCGGTCGTGACCAGATGGCAAGCAAATATGGGGGCCCTGTGCATGCAAGTCTGCGGATGCTTCTTCAGTTGGAACAACATGGTGGTTAATGGGGCTTGCAAATATGGGCACTTCTTTTGCGACGGCATTTTCTCCCGGCAACCCTTAGGGCTAATGCTGGGCGATGCCGGCTCGCAGACGCAAAGCTTGATGTACCATCTGGCCTGAAAAGAGTGCCTTCGCGGTGCATAAGAGTTCTCTGAACATGTTTGCATAGCCTCGGCACGTGCACAGGGCCGACGCTTGTGCGTCCGTAACATTTCAAGATCACCCTCCCTACCCTCCCCGAAGTGGGGGCACTTCTTTTGCGACGGCATTTTCTCCCGGCAACCCTTAGGGCTAATGCTGGGCGATGCCGGCTCGCAGACGCAAAGCTTGATGTACCATCTGGCCTGAAAAGAGTGCCTTCGCGGTGCACCCCTTTTCAGTACCAAGCCAACCTCAAATTCGGTGCGGGCGCTTGCCCGCGCAGCTTTCAAGCCCAAGCCTGCTTTAAAAATCATGCGGGCTGCTGGCCCGCACTCCTTTTCAGCACCAAGAAAACCTCAAATTCGATGCGGGGCACTAGCCGCACAGCTTTCAAGCCCAAACCTGCTTTAAAACTCGTGCGGGCTGCTGCCCCGCACCCCTTTTCAGCACCAAGCCAACCTCAAATTCGGTGCGGGGCGCTTGCCCGCACAGCTTTCAAGCCCAAGCCTGCTTTAAAAATCGTGCGGGCTGCTGGCCCGCACTCCTTTTCAGCACCAAGCCAACCTCAAATTCGGTGCGGGGCGCTTGCCCGCACAGCTTTCAAGCCCATGCCTGCTTTTAGAATCGTGCGGGCTGCTGGCCCGCGCCCCTTTTCAGCACCAAGCCAACCTCAAATTCGGTGCGGGGCGCTTGCCCGCACAGCTTTCAAGCCCAAGCCTGCTTTAAGAATCGTGCGGGCTGCTGGCCCGCACCCCTTTTCAGCACCAAGCCAACCTCAAATTCGGGTGCGCCCCTTTTCAGCACCAAGCCAACCTCAAATTCGGTGCGGGGCGCTTGCCCGCACAGCTTTCAAGCCCAAGCCTGCTTTAAAAATCGTGCGGGCTGCTGGCCCGCACCCCTTTTCAGCACCAAGCCAACCTCAAATTCGGTGCGGGGCGCTTGCCCGCACAGATTTCAAGCCCAAGCCTGCTTTAAAAATCGTGCGGGCTGCTGGCCCGCACCCCGTTTCAGCACCAAGCCAACCCTCAAATTCGGTGCGGGCTGCTTGCCCGCACAGCTTTCAAGCCCAAGCCTGCTTTAAAAATCGTGCGGGCTGCTGGCCCGCACCCCTTTTCAGCACCAAGCCAACCTCAAATTCGGTGCGGGGCGCTTGCCCGCACAGATTTCAAGCCCAAGCCTGCTTTCAAAATCGTGCGGGCTGCTGGCCCGCACCCCTTTTCAGCACCAAGCCAACCTCAAATTCGGTGCGGGGCGCTTGCCCGCACAGCTTTCAAGCCCAAGCCTGCTTTAACAATCGTGCGGGCTGCTGGCCCGCACCCCTTTCAGCACCAAGCCAACCTCAAATTCGGCGCGGGGCGCTTGCCCGCACAGCTGAAGCCCAAGCCTGCTTTAAAAATCGTGCGGGCTGCTGGCCCGCACCTCCAATTCGGTGCGGGGCACTTGCCCGCACAGCTTTCAAGCCCAAGCCTGCTTTAAAAATCGGGCGGGCTGCTGGCCCGCACCCCATTTTAGCACCAAGCCAACCTCAAATTCGGTGCGGGGCGCTTGCCCGTACAGCTTTCAAGCCCAGGCCTGCTTTAAAATCGCGTGCGGGCTGCTGGCCCACCCGCCAACCTCAAATTCGGTGCGGGGCGCTTGCCCGCACAGCTTTCAAAGCCCAAGCCTGCGTTTAAAATCGTGCGGGCTGCTGGCCCGCACCGCTTTTTCGCACCAAGCCAACCTCAAATTCGGTGCGGGGCGCTTGCCAGCTTTCAAGCCCAAGCCTGCGTTAAAAATCGTGCGGGCTGCTGGCCCGCACCGCTTTTCAGAACCAACAACCTCAAATTCGGTGCGAGGCGCTTGCCCGCGCAGCTTTCAAACCCAAGCCTGCTTTAAAATCGTGCGGGCTGCTGGCCCGCACTGCTTTTCAGCAGCCAACCTCAAATTCGGTGCGGGGCGCTTGCCCGTACAGCTTTCAAGCCCAAGCCTGCTTTAAAAATCGTGCGGGCTGCTTGCCCGCAACCTCAAATTTGGTGCGGGGCGCTTGGCCGCACGGCTTTCAAGCCCAAGCCTGCGTTAAAAATCGTGCGGGCTGCTGGCCCGCACCGCTTTTCAGTGCGGGGCGCTTGCCCGCACAGTTTTCAAGCCCAAGCCTACTTTCAAATCGTGCGGGCTGCTGGCCCGCACCGCCTTTCAGCACCAAGCCAACCTCAAATTCGGTGCGAGACGCTTGCCCGCACAGCTTTCAAGCCCAAGCCTTCTGTAAAAATCATGCGGGCTGCTGGCCCGCACCGCTTTTCAGCACCAAGCCAACCTCAAATTCGGTGCGGGGCGCTTGCCCGCACAGCTGAAGCCCAAGCCTGCTTTCAAAATCGTGCGGGCTGCTGGCCCCTTTTCAGCACCAAGCCGACCTCAAATTCGGTGCGGGGCGCTTGCCCGCACAGCTTTCAAGCCCAAGCCTGCTTTCAAAATCGTGCGGGCTGCTGGCCCGCACCGCTTTTCAGCACCAAGCCAACCTCAAATTCGTGTGCGGGGCGCTTGCCCGCACAGCTTTCAAGCCCAAGCCTGCTTAAAAATCGTGCGGGCTGCTGGCATTTCAACACCAAGCCAACCTCAAATTCGGTGCGGGGCGCTTGCCCGCACAGCTTTCAAGCCCAAGCCTGCTTTCATAATCGTGCGGTCTGCTGGCCCGCACCGCTTTTCAGCACCAAGCCAACCTCAAATTCGGTGCGGGGCGCTTGCCCGCACAGCTTTCAAGCCCAAGCCTGCTTTAAGAAGCGTGCGGGCTGCTCGCCCGCACCGCTTTTCAGCACCAAGCCAACCTCAAATTCGGGTGCGGGGCGCTTGCCCGCACAGCTTTCAAGCCCAAGCCTGCTTTCAGAATCGTGCGGGCTGCTGGCCCGCACCGCTTTTCAGCACCAAGCCAACCTCAAATTCGGGTGCGGGACGCTTGCCCGCACAGCTTTCAAGCCCAAGCCTGCTTTAAGAATCGTGCGGGCTGCTGGCCCGCACCGCTTTTCAGCACCAAGCCAACCTCAAATTCGGGTGCGGGGCGCTTGCCCGCACAGCTTTCAAGCCCAAGCCTGCTTTAAGAATCGTGCGGGCTGCTGGCCCGCACCGCTTTTCAGCACCAAGCCAACCTCAAATTCGGGTGCGGGGCGCTTGCCCGCACAGCTTTCAAGCCCAAGCCTGCTTTAAGAATCGTGCGGGCTGCTGGCCCGCACCGCTTTTCAGCACCAAGCCAACCTCAAATTCGGGTGCGGGGCGCTTGCCCGCACAGCTTTCAAGCCCAAGCCTGCTTTAAGAATCGTGCGGGCTGCTGGCCCGCACCGCTTTTCAGCACCAAGCCAACCTCAAATTCGGGTGCGGGGCGCTTGCCCGCACAGCTTTCAAGCCCAAGCCTGCTTTAAGAATCGTGCGGGCTGCTGGCCCGCACCGCTTTTCAGCACCAAGCCAACCTCAAATTCGGGTGCGGGGCGCTTGCCCGCACAGCTTTCAAGCCCAAGCCTGCTTTAAGAATCGTGCGGGCTGCTGGCCCGCACCGCTTTTCAGCACCAAGCCAACCTCAAATTCGGGTGCGGGGCGCTTGCCCGCACAGCTTTCAAGCCCAAGCCTGCTTTAAGAATCGTGCGGGCTGCTGGCCCGCACCGCTTTTCAGCACCAAGCCAACCTCAAATTCGGGTGCGAGCGCTTGCCCGCACAGCTTTCAAGCCCAAGCCTGCTTTAAGAATCGTGCGGGCTGCTGGCCCGCACCGCTTTTCAGCACCAAGCCAACCTCAAATTCGGGTGCGAGCGCTTGCCCGCACAGCTTTCAAGCCCAAGCCTGCTTTAAGAATCGTGCGGGCTGCTGGCCCGCACCGCTTTTCAGCACCAAGCCAACCTCAAATTCGGGTGCGGGGCGCTTGCCCGCACAGCTTTCAAGCCCAAGCCTGCTTTCAAAATCGTGCGGGCTGCTGGCCCGCACCGCTTTTCAGCACCAAGCCAACCTCAAATTCGGTGACCAACCTTTCAAGGCCCCCAATGCTTTCCTTCTCGCAACTTGAATTGTCAGGTTTCTTCCCAGAGCTCATGACGCTTGTAAAGCTGGGGGCTCGGCACCTGAGGGCCTTTTTTTTTTGGGGGGGGGGGGGAGGGGGGGGGAGGGAGGGGGGAGGGGGGGGGGGGGGGGGGAGGGGGGGGGGGGGGGGAGGGGGGGGGGCAGAGGAGTTGGACTCGTTCATTGCGGAAGGCGAGGGCTTGCGGGGTTAGGGTGGCAGTTGTTGCATCCAGCGCACCAGGCCCTTTGTTTCGAAGTTGTTCAACCAGTACAGTTTCGATAAGCAGATGAACCCAGAGTCCTCTTGGGAAGCATGTTTTCTAGTGTTTAAAACAGTTCAAACCCCAGGAAGATACTTGTAGAATTTCGCCAGCTTCCGTCCTTGGGCCAGGGGAATGGTCCGCGCGATGCAGTCCGTCGTCTTCATCCTGCTCTTCATGGTCGTGGTGACCTATGTCTTCGCCATCGTGCCGGGATCTTAAGCCCTTAGAGCTTTTCTTTGGGCATCTTCCCTAAACCCTCAACCCTAAACCCTAAGCCCTAAACCCTTTGGCTTCAGACTTGGGGGCTTAGAGGTGCAGGATCTTGAGCTTGAGGCTTGCATTGCAGGGCCACCTCGTCGAGGCTGCAAGACCCAGGAGGCTTCATCCCTCAACTGCAAGTCGCTGCAAGTCCTTCAACCTGCTATGCCCCAAAACCCAAAACCCTAACCCCCCCATAACTAGCGTCATTTCAGTACTACAGTGTCCCTGTTCGAGAGTCCCAGAGTCAGCGAGCCAAGGTTCACCACCCGGTTTGGGACCATCGGCTTCTTCCCCAAGGCCCGCCAGGGAATTCTTTGGGCCTTTTGGGGTTTGGGGCTGTCAGGTTTCAGGAGAGGATCAGCTCAAGGTGCTTCTACAAGTCCTTGCAGCCTGGGTAGGATTCCGCGAGATTTGCTGACTTCACTCTCCGCTCAAGCACAGCTGAGCACCCTGAGATCCGCAAGGAGACAAGACGACTCTGACAGGCCACACAGAGCCGACAGCACTTTTCAACACTGCATCAGCATGTGGGATGTCCCAGCCCTTCGCGTTCGTCTTGGTCCCAACTGGCATCTTCGATCAGATTCTCACACAAGTGCTCCACACAGACCGGAAGACTCAAGCGTAATCCTCAACCTTAAACCAAGCCATGCGAAGCACAATTTCGCAGCAAAAAGGATGAGGATTCGAGCGACATTATTGCACAAACCCCTCAAGATTGCAATGATGTACTGCGGGGTTGTGTGGTTATGGATCAGCATAAGACGGTGTGCATACTCTGCGCATCGGAGGTCTACCCGGGCTTCCCCGAAATCCAGCCCCCCACCCCTCTAGCCCGAAAGCCAGGAACCATCTGAAGCACACCTCCCTAAACCCCAAGCCCCAAACCCGAAGCCAAAATCCTCTCCTTGAGCTGGCATGCAAGGACGCAAACTCCACGCTGCCGGAGCTTTTTCCAGACCTGGGCCAGAACCCAAGAGGGTTGAATTTAGGAGTGCGCAGGCTGTCTTGGTCTTAGGCGTTGGGCGCCTGGGGTTTCGTTGTGATTGTGGAAAGGTATGTGTTGCTTTCTTGGTGCTTGATGTCTACGGCCGATGGATGAAGGTGCTTCGCGGGTATTTTAGCACATGCTTAAAGACTGCACCACCTTGGAACCTTTGCAAGTTCGAATTTCTCCTTGAGGCCGAAAACTGTAGACAAGCAAGCCTGACATGACAAGACTCGCTGGGTTGTCGGGTTCTGCCAAGCAGCCTGCATTTTTGAATTCTTGCGCAGCACTCCCCAAGAGTCACCCTGCGTGAGCCCTTCGCTCACTTGCAGCCAGACCTATGTAGGTTGCAGATTGCATCGGCTTCTGGGAATTTTCAAACGCCCGAAGCTTCTACTCTAACCCCCCAAGGTACACCCTTCTCACGGGAGGACAGACGCACGGCATGTGAAGCACAGCCAAAAAACCTCCACCCTCCAGACAACAAGAACGGCAAGCCCCTCCTTGTGCACTAGGCTCATCCATGATGACGCTTTTTCTCTATGGGGTGCTGGCCGACAACCTGACATACATCCTGGGTGAGATCCAGACGGACGGCTTCATAGTCAGAGCGGCGAAGCGAGCGTGCAGCAGTTGGAGTGCTTGAGACGAGTAGTGGTAGATGCCCAGTTAGAGCGGCTGCGAGGAAGACCTCTTGATGATGTGGGCCTTCATGGTGCCTGGTACTTGGTTCAAGAACCACTCAGCTTTAGGATGGAATGCTTCGTAGTGCTTCATGCTCAAAGCTGATGGCTTATGGTTTCAGTTAGGTCTCCAAGGTCCCAGGCTTGCCCAGCGAAGCTTGCTCGAGGTTCATGGTGATCTCGGGCATGACGCTGCTCAACATGCTGATAGGCTCCCCTTGCATGGCATTCTAGAACCCAGATTCCGAGGGCCTGCACGGCATCTTGAGAGGCTATTTCTCTGCTCGGCTGCAAACCTCCCTTCGCCAGGCGTGCTTTGTCAAGTGATCGAGGATAGCTCTCAAGAGGAGTCAGAAATGCTGGGCCCTTAGCCTCATATCGCTGTCAACTTTCAGAGCAAACCGGTGCCGCACCGAGCGGAATCTGTATTCCCCAAAGCAAGCACACCGCATACGGCACGCGCGCACGCGCGTACATGCACCCACGCACCCACGCACGTGCGCGCGCAAGCTCACGCACCCCCACCCAGACACGCACACAAACAACAAGAGCAATGGGGTCCAATGCCCTGCAATCAAGTGGAAACACCGGAAATGCCTTTTCGCTCAGCCTCCGCTACTTCCGCTGCAAAACCCGAAGCTCTCACTTGTGACATCTTGTGACTTGTGTGAGCTGTGCCAACTCCCCCAATCGGGCATCCCGGACACATCCTGGAACCCTGCAGCCCATTACAGGCCCCGGGCCCCCCGAAAACACCCCAAAGCTTGATATTCGGACGCTCAGGCGCCAACTCAACGAGCTGAAGGCGCCCAGCAGCGCGGGTTGGGGATGGTTTGGGATCAAACTTGGGATGCTTCCGAGGCCCCGGGACTTTAAACCTTTAGGGTGCAGGATTCTGAGCTTCATCGGGTGAGTGAGGGGGGGGGGGGGGGGGTCGTCAGCTGGCTTTGTTTCCGTGTTCTTCGAGAGCCACAAAGAAATGTGAATATGGCGTTTTGTGAGAATTGTGAGCATTGCCCGGTCTTCGGCCGAGGGTCAAGTGTCCAGGTCTGTCTCGTCGAAGCCTTCACGGCCATCGACGAGTCCAACGACGGGACCATTTCCGAGGCTGGGTTTCGGGATCCAGGGGAGAGGGGGATCGGTCGGAAGGCAAGCCGAACCTCTTTAACTTGACTTCAGATTTTTGCAGGGAAGCGACGGCTCCAGGAGTTTAGAGGCAACCAGTCAGCCTACCGGCCATCAAGCACTAGTCCTAATCCCATCAGGCCCACTGCTCAGTGAGATTCGTGGGGCCCTAACCCCCCAGTCTGAGAGCAGCCGGAAGGGCCCGATTGCAGCCCAAAACGCCTGAAAGCCTTCTGACCACCTCAACCCGCCAGGACGAGTGGGCGAAGATCGCCACAAACAAAAGGGTGCAGGCTGCTCTGTTGAAGCTCCGCCCTCGGCGCCAGTTGGATGCTGGTCCTCACTACCCAGGAAGCGTCTTGAGGGCCAAACAAAACGAAAGGGCGATGGAGTGTCATGAACCCTCACAACAGTTCCTGCACACGGGCCAGGACCCAAACACAAGCCCAACCACACCAAGAACCCCCAAAAGCCCAAAAGCCCCCCGAGCCACAAGTCCTGGAAGTCTCTCGGGGACCTGGCCCAAGGCTCGGGGTAGAGGAGAGCATGATGGAGGCCTGCTTGGGGGCAGCTTCAGTTGTTGAGAACAACCCTTTCCGGTTAGAGAGGGAGGGGGGAGAGAGGGGGAGAGAGCGGGACTGCACCAGAACGCAACAGCCACTCTGAACTATGTAAGCAGCGACGCAAAGTCGGCATCGTGACATGCTGTGGACATTGGTTGGGTTATGCACAGCAGGGTTCGTGCGGCCGTTTGCGAATGGGGGTTCAGCGCTCTGGTCTTGGGTCCACGCGTGGCTTCGCGAGTCCAGGGGTTGAGGAAGTACTGAGTGCGTGGCCGTCGCGGTTGTCGCTCTTCCGGCTTGGAGAGATTTAAGGCTGAAGCTCAGCTCTGAACTCCAGGCTCGCAGTCCAGAAAACGGAGCTCGAGGGTTTCGATTTTTAGATGTAGCCTGCACGAGGAAACAGAGAGGCATTTTCAGGATGAAGGTGCGTTCCCTGCGTTGCATGGGGAAAGCCCTGACAAGCGTGAGCTCGCAAGCATGCAGCAAGAAGTCCTCCGTGGCTCTTGTCCTCGGAAATCACACGAGATGTTCAAATTCTGTCTCTAGATCATGAAAATGCTTAAGCTGCAAGTAAAAGTCTCGGGACAGACAAAAGCATTCGCCTTAGCCCTAGACTCCGTGCAACTCGACAGGAGAGGCTCAAGCAGATGCAAGAGAGTCTCTTCGGCCGACGCGGCGGAGGTCAGGGCGAAGAAGATGCACGAGCCTCGAATCAGTTATTTTTTCGGTTCTGCTAAGCAATCTGGTGTGTTCCCTGGGCATTTGTTTTTGTCGTTCAGGGGTTTAGTGTCTGCCGTTCCGGCCCCCGGGCTCAAGTGAGGCGCCTGTCCTAACAATAGCCTCACAAGCCACAAAAGGCTGCGCCATCGGCGCGTCGAGATCGAGTAGGGCCGAGCATGTCTAAACAAATACACCCTTGCGCACTGTCAAGGAAGCATCTTTACCTTAGAAACGAATACGCAGCATGACTAGACTCGGAGTGCCGAACCGCAACTGTAAATCTGTCCCGGCAAGCCCTGAAAGCCTGAAAGAGTCCAATTTTGGCTAAGGTTCCCGGGGTTCCTTTTGGTTTCCTGAAATTCCTGTGGCCTCCGTGGCTCAGGCCCCTCAAGACGAGGATGAGCGCAAGGCCCAGCCACTTTTGTCTGTGTCGGGCCTGGAAGTTGGCAGTGCCGCCAAGTGCCCAAGTACAACTTGATACAACTTGACACAACTCGGTACAACTTGTACCTCTGCCACCTTACCGGCATTCTAAACCTCAACCTCAAGCTCATCGACACCAAACTGCAGACAAACCACACGCTCACATCGCATGTCTGGACCCAAGCCCTTCAATCCTGAAACCATGAAGGCCCTCAAGCTTTCAAGGATCCCTTAAGGCCTTAGGGCCGCATCCCGAGGCCCTATGCCTAAACCCCACATTTCCAGTACACCCCAACATTGGACCAGGATGGCCTCTCCTTCGATGAGTTCGTGGAGCAGGCTTATACAGGGTCCAAACATGTCCAAACCACGAACGCCCGGGCGTGAAGAAGGAATCTCGGGCTTCCCAAAAACCATTTCAAACGCTTAGGTTTCTACAGTCCGCAGGTAACCGACACATCCTCGGATTGATGTTCCTGTGTCTTCGGGGGTTGAATGCGCGGCTTTGGGGATCAAAAGGAACTTTGGGCTTGGGCTGCACGGGGCCCACTGTGAGGCCTTACCGGGAGTTGGAGTTTCAAGGCAAGGCACCACAAGGTCCCACAAAGGCTCTCCTGTGATCTTATGATTACATGGCTCTAAAATCCGACCCTTGAAGCCGCTCCTCCACCCTTTTGTAGGTGATCGACTTGCGGATGGACACGCCTGCTGGCGCTCTCGACGTCGAGATGCTGAAGCTCCTTGGGCGCAAGCCGGGGAGCAATTGAATTCTCAGCAGAAGGGTGCCCCAAATCAAACCTCCAAAGCCTGCATATATGTGATATGTGATGAAATCTCATTCGTTTGGGCTCTGGGCTTGCGGGTGCCGTCCTTGAGACCCTTGCTTTCCCCCCCCCCCCGAGCGCTGAGTCAGCCTCGAAGCTAAGAGCGCTGCAACACATCGTGAGAGGGGTTTCTTGTGCCTCTTTTGTGCTTCTTCAGGTCCACCACCAGCTCGGAGCATAAAACGCTCCGGCGGAGGCTCATGTATGTGGAGGCAGGGGACTCAGGGCTGCGCTTAGAACTTAGCAGAAACATCCGGGCTTCAGGGCTTCGTACTTGTTTGGGAGGCCGGGGGGGGGAGGGAGCGTCGGAAGGCAGACCTTGAAGCCTTAAACTGACTTACACTACTGATGATTCCGTTTTCGCGCGCGCCCCCTTGATTTGATTTTGGCGCCCAAGTTGAACTCTACACGAAGCCCAAGAAAGAGCTCTCCACTTCGCTATTGAGCACGGGGAGTTGCGTTGAAGTTTCGGATGTGTAGGAGGACAGCCTCGAGATGTGGGGGGAGAGGGGGGGGTTGAGCCGACTGTGGCCCACTTTGGGGTGCAGTAGAAGTGCTGTGTCAGAGGAGGCTTTGGGTGCTTTGCTGATCTTTGCTGCCTTCCTACGCAACGCATTTTCTGAACGGATTGAGCTATCTGCCGCATAGCTGCCAGGGTCCAATATTGTAGCCTCCGGCAGTAACCTTCCGAACATGCGATCCAGTCGGAGCTGCGGAAGATGCTCGGAGTGCCAAAGGAGGCGCGCGCACGACCAGGCTAGTTTCAGGCTTGGTTTTGGATCCGATGTGGGGGTTTCCGAAAATAGCTGTACCCTTTCTGGGGTACTTGGGGGTACATGTGAGGTACCCCTATTTTGGGAATACCCATGTAAACCGAAACCCTCGGACAGATGTGGCTTAGGTAGGGCTTGGAGGGCTTTGGATGCGCGATTCGTGCCTTGAACTTTCAGCCCCCGCATTTGCCACTTTTGAAGACAAAAGCAGGGTCTTCTGAAGCTCGCACGCAGAATGTTTGAGACGCCAGAGTCAGGATTCTCTAGCTTTCCTCCATGGTCTTGGTAAGGATGTCATGAGTCATGATGACTCATCATGAGTCATGAATGTCCAGCTTAGAATGTCATGGAGAAGCTGAAGTTCTCAAAAGCAGTGAACCTTGAGCCTAGCGAGCGAACATGCTGAGACTGCCTTGAAGATGATGGCTGCATGTGGCCTGCGCCAGGCGAAGCTAAAGCGCCGGTCAACCTCGGAGGACCCCCCAAGCAAGAGCTTTGGTGGTTGAGGGGGGGGGAGTGCTGGGGATGGAATGAGAGGGGTTGGCCTAGGACCAGCCTTTCCCGGAGAACCCTCAGCCCATCTTAGTCCGCCTTAGCCCATCTCACCCCATCAACTTATGCTTCAGACCCTTTTGCAGGTCCACTGTACCACCCCCCCCCCCCCCCCCCCCCCAACCCTGAGCGTTGAAATCGCAGGATGCCGCTGAGGCCGCCTTCCAGCACCCCAAGGTCCGAAGTTGATTTTTTCTCTGCCGAGGTTTGAGGATTTGATTCGAGGCACTCCTTGAAGGCTTGAAGGCTTGAAGGCTTGAAGGACGGGGAAGCTGCCGGGAGATCGTGTCGTGTTTTCTGGTGCGTTGGGTCAAATGTTTTGGGTGTTTTGGAACGTCTCTCGGGAATTTAGAGGTTGATGTGATTGAGGTGCAAGACGTCAAAGTACCACATCCTAAGCTGGAGTATCTGTTGCATGCCACCTTACATACAGAATACAGGCATTGAGTGCTGGGCCCGCAAAAGGCTGATCTGAGCATAAACAGGTCGCAGCTCGTGAAGCTTCGGGCTCCGGACCCAACACCCACAAGCGCCCAGCAGCACCTTCCGCACCCATCTGATTTTCGGAACAGCCCAGCTGCAACCCACTCCCAGGTCCGCGAAGAGCTTCGCGAGGACTCTGCAGCCTCGCTGATGCAGCACGTGGAGCCCGGGGCCAAAGAGGTTATGATGGCTGGCATCTGATGCCTTGCAGGCTGCGAGAGCAGACAACGGAAGTGAGCTTTAGAGGCCTCATGACGTATGAAAGAGCGTGTCTAGGGGAATGGGAACTTGACTTGACCGGCCGCAAGGTCGCGCCTCTCGCAAGAGGCTGCCAGGGAGATGGCTTGGGGTTTGAGGATGGAGGCAAAGAAGGTTTGGTTGTGCACAGGCGGCTCATGGGGTCTCAAAGACATGTAAACTTCTGAATCGGACTCCAGCCTGCTGAGTTGACCCTTTGTCTATGGATTGAGGGCAGATCATTGGTTCTACAAAAAATTGTCACCTTCAGTGGTGGAACTTCGAACGAAAAAAGGGTGATGTTGCCAGGCCCTCACACCAAATTGAAAGCGCAAAATTACCCAAAGATGCAACTCCAAATCCTCATAATCCTTCAAAAGCCATCCGACAGGAGCCTCGGGAGAGCCTGGCGGAGGGCCTTGCAGCATCCGACGCCGAAAGCGACGGCTGGCTCGCGGAGGCAGGGTTGTGGCTTGAGGTTTCAGGTTCAGTGCTTCAGGTTGCCCGGAGTGCTCATATTGTGAGTGCACAGATGCACCACACACACACACCCACCCCGGTGTACGGACCCTTATAAGCTTCAAAGCTATAAGGAACCATATTTCACAGCGGGGCAGCCTTGTGGTTACTTGCTGATTTTGGGGCTTTGGTCTCAGATGAGCGCTCTCTTATGCGATGACGATGGAGAGTTTCATGGCCTTCCATGTCAGTGGCGGGGTTTAAGACTCCCAAAGAATCTGCTGAGAAGCTGCATGGAGGTGCCCCTGGAGTTGCTGTTTCTGGTGCTGAAGGCACATTTCATTCCGTTTAATTGTGGGTATGGTACAGGCTTCACTCTGAACCCCGAGCCTCCAATCCTAGCCTTCTCAGTTGAAGGGACTTGAAGGGTCTTGAAGGTGTTCATGGACCTGTGTCAGGTCGCTTGATGGCAAACGCTCCTACTTCAAAAGCTGCTAAAGTCATATTGAACATGTTGAGCTGTAAAGGCTAGAGCCAGCATCTAGAAGGCGCAGCCATATTGACGACCCGCTACCCCAAAATAGTTGAAGTTGCTTGTTGATTCCGTGTCGGGTTTCCGTGTGGGTATTACCCTAATGCCGACATTCATCCAATTCGTGCTTTGTATGCTGTATGGAACCGCCATATAATGCCTGAGGGGGAACGTGTCTCTGCGTGGTTGGCTTGTTGAGACATGTTCTGGTGCTTGTGCCAGGCGTCCCCGCGAATTGCGCACTTAATTCAGACAGTGGTGATGATACCACCACCAACATATATTTCATTATCTGAGTTGGAGTGGCACTGGTATGCTCCACTCATGCGACAGCCTATCCAGTCGATGAGGTGCCGTTTTCGTTGTCGCTAACTCCCACCCAACCCAAGACGACCAAGTGCTGAGGTCCGTTTAGTCTAAGTTCAGTCTTTTCGCCCCCCAAAGCTCTAAGTGGCAACCGAACCCGTGCCTCTAAAGCATAAAGCTTGAAGCCCTCAGAGTCCTTAAGTTCAGGCCCGGGCGGCCCATGAGCCGCCACTGGACGGCTGATCCGTGGCGGCCACGGACTCGGGCTCAGTTGTTTGCTTGGTTTTCCCACACCCTCGGTGTGGGGCTGTTAGATTGTTGACTCAACTCTTCTCCTCTCCCGGTCTCCTCCTCGCCCATCTCCCGAATCCCCAACCCCAAGCTATCATCGGAGAATCCTGGAGTGCCCAACTCATCCCCAGAGAATGAGTGTCTCAGAGCGTTTGAAGAGGTTTGAAGAAATCCTTGAAGTGCCCCAGAGTATTTTCAGAGAATCCCCGGAGTTTTTTTTTAAATGCATTCCGAATCTGTAGAGGGTGGGGGATGTTTGTGCTTCCGGGGCTTTGAGGTTTCAGGGGTTATTTTCTTGCCATGCATGTCAAGTAGTGTTCAGCTAGCCTTGGGGCTGGGGGGCTTTGACTTTGGGGGGGCCCGCTTCATTTGTTTCCGTTGATGCTCATTTTATGGTAGCTCGCTGTCACAGAAGCAGGGTAATACGAGGTTTGGGTCTTGCAGGTTTTGGAATGTGGCTACGAGTTTAGGAGCATAAGGGCTTTTGTTGGCACATGTCTTGTGGAAAACGTCTGCTCACCAAAGATGTTCACAAGTTTAAGCTTGCCTGAGCATTCCCTGGGAGTCAAACCCGAAGTTCGATCATGCCAAGGGTTGGAGATGTTCTGTAAATTAGGGCCAAAACCTGACAACACAGAACACCTGAGGTATGCGCAATTGCTTGAGAAACTTTGGCCCGGTCCAAAACAAGGACCAGAAGCTAATGCTGACAGGTCCTAAAATGTGTCGCCACTAGACCCTAAGCCCTAAACCTTCAAGACGAGCTGCCCGGCTTGCGGCATAAGGCGTTAGCGAACACGCACCAACATGAACAGACAGTGAAACAACATACAACATTCTCCTTGCCTACAGAATCAGCACAAACAGCTGCGTCCGAAAGATCGTTGCTTGCCGTATTTGGCTTCACTCTCGCGGCCTCGTCCTTGAAAAGGCAGAAAACTCAGTAAGCGTCGAGCTGAACACTTTGCGAGCGGAAACGAAAATGCCACCTTTCGATCTGATTCGATGCTTTCGAGCAGAACCGTGCACCGCGTGGCAAAGAACGTTGCTTTCGGCACGTCCATCTTAAAGCGCCCCTCCCTTAGCCCTGCATCTCATGCCGCATGCCCTACTAGAGGCAAGAGAAGCCCTGAAGAGCCCTGAACCTGACACGAGTTGCAGCCATGCTTTCACCTGCCCAAGGCCCTTTCTCAGAAGGATGCCCTGCTGAGAGCGGCGCAGACCTGACACTTTAATTTAAGGCCACGTTAAGTATACCTTATGGCTACTTTAAGGCTACTTTAGGGCTACTGTAGGGCTACTTTAAGGCTACTTTAAGGCTACTGTAGGGCGACTGTAGGCTAAGCATGGTGGACTTTGTCTGATGCTGATAGCAGCTTGGGTATCTCATGACAGCAGACTGTTTACGGAAGCACACAAGCCAGCGCCAAGCGCGAATCATAGAGAACATCCCCCCAAACGCTCGTCCCCTCAAAATTCCAACAGCTGGATCTCGTAGCTACGGGGCTGAATTGCTCATTGTGGCGGAGACGGCGCGGAATGTCGCCGAAGGCCCGGGGAAAGCTGTTGCTTGAGGGACTTCGTCAGGCTTCGTCGGGTTGAATTGAACGAGTGGGCTTGGAAGAATGAAGGGTCTGGGCCCAGGTTCAGGTGGCTATGGGCGATCTGGACGTACGTAGGTGTCGGTGTCGGTGTCGGTGCATGATGGGCGGAGACGTGTGGGCAGGGTTCTCAAGGAGTTCAGTCATACACAAAGCAGAACGAACACGAACACGAACAAAAACACGAACACGAACACTAACACGAACACTAACAAAAACACGAACACGAACACGAACACACAGCTACAACTACACCTACACCCCCACCTACACCTACACTTACACCGACAATCATGACCCATGCAAGGCCCAAGTTGAAGCTTGCTCAGGAAATCCCTGTTGAGTTGAAGGTACCCGGGGAAGGAAGCTGCCGTCATGAGCATTTGCAGGGCCAGCACTCTTTGGGTTCGAGAGCTTCCCCCAAAAACCGTATCAATTAGAGTGCCAAGGCTTAAGACCCTAAACCTATAAGGCCAGGTCGCCTCACAAAGCCCGGACACCAGATCTCATGCCTGAAGAGTCTAGGGGGTCAGGGCCGAACGAAAGACAGCACCAGAAATCATCTGCAAAGTACTGTGCCTACACTGTATACACATTTCAAGCACGTTGCCTCTAGGTCGAAGGATCAACCCTGCAAGAGCCCTGAACGCAACTCTGGCACATGCACCCTTCATTGAACCATCCCCCCACCCCCCCTCCCCCCCACCCATCCTCAGAAGCACACGCCGGAGGCGACGGACCTGACACAGCGCAACGGGGCAACGGGGCAAAGCCCCGGTGCCAAAAAGTCGCAATGGCCGTGGCCTTCGGTTTGGGTGGCATTAGTCTTTGGAGTATCCCAGTATCTCCCAAAGCCTGTTTTGGCTTTGTGTAGTAAGCCATGGAATCTTTGAGCACGAAATCAACCAATTCACCCCAGAGCCTCAAACACCCAAAGACTCCAAAGACCTCCAAGAAGCCTGAGGGCCTCAAACATGGTTCAACCCTTTCATCGCTGGAAAGCAACGCAGGTCTTTGACTTCTCTCGCGCAGAGCCGGGTGGCGCGGATTGGAGGCGTGATGTATCTTGTCGGGCTGATCAAATGAGTTGTAAGGAGCTTTGGGGATGTGTCGTAGAGCTGGTCAATATACAAGTGAGGTTAGGGGGCTGTCCACTTCTAGAAACGCAAACCAAGCCTCGGCTGCCTACCCTCTGGAATCCCTGTCGTGGCCCCTGGAACTCCCTGTTTAGGACCGTAAGTTTGATGAAGTCCAAGTACATCAAGGGCCTCCACAGAGGTTCTTGCCCTTCGATGAGACCATCGCCCTGGCGAAGCGCTATGAGCTTCCCCTGGTGGCCTGGGCACCGACCTCAAGCGGTCCTTGCTCCCCTCTTCGATCACGAAATGCTTGGGTTGACCTCGAGATTTGTCTGCCCAAGATCTCCCCCTAGGCCTCGAAAGAAATGACAGAACGAAAGAGCGAAAGAACGAAAGAACGAAAGACCGAAGGAACGAACGAACGAAAGAACGCAAGAACGAAAGAACGAAAGAAAGAAATAAAAAAGAACAAATAAAGAACAAATAAAGGAAATAAAGGAAAACATGGAAAACAAGAAAGCATGAAAGACAGAGCGCGCGAGAGCGAGGGAGCGCGGGAGAGCGAGGGGGCGAGCAGGCGAGCGGGCGAGTGGGCGAGGGAGGGAGAGGGAGGGAGGGAGGGATGTGCAACACCATCGGGGCCGGCAACTTAGCCACCAGTTGGCACATCGTGGGAGCCACCACACTGCCATCCACGGGCAACAGGCAGCGCCACAAGCTGGGTCACACCGGAACAACGCCCCCGAACTACCACGACTTCCGGCGATTCGAAGGGAGCATGTTCTCTGCGGATGTTCCCGGCAGCGTCGGGAGACGAGAGAGGGCAGAGAGGGGTGCTCTGCGAAGAGGTCGAGTATTGAAGCCGAGGGACACAGACAAACCCGAGCAGAGTAGAAAAAAGGAGTCGGAACATTGAAGAGTCGCGGGGGGAAGGTCCTTTGAATTTCGGAGTTGAGGTTGGGGATTCCGTGAGCAAGGTGGCTGTAGATCGGTACCCTGGACAATAAGAGCCCCGGGCCCTTAGGCTTGCGGAGACGTGGTTCTCACCAGGAAGCACAACCCCCGTCACCCATACACACACCTACACGCACGCGGGCACACAGACACACAGAGAGACACAGACATCCACACACGCACGCACAGGGGGTAAACAAGCTCAAGCGTCAGCACAGACCTGAGATCGTGCCCGGCGCCGGGGCACCTGCAAGCCCTCAGGGAAAAAAGAAGACGAAGAAGAGCGAGAGATTGACAGCAACCGACAACGGCTTGTGAGGCAATCAATGGTCATGGCAGTCCCTGTGGTAGCCTCATAAGAGCCCTTACTGCCAGGAGAAGAAGTCCCGGCTTTCTGCCGAGGAGACTGCAAGCAAGTTCGAGAAACTTTGACACTCAGAGGGGTTTCCAGCATCTCATGTGCATCCACTTCGAGCACCACTTGGGCGTGGGAAAGCGTAAGCACTGAAGCCTTCAGAAGCCTGCGCAGTCATTCTACAAAGCCTGGTGTAGAGCCAGAACCTTCACCGCCAGGAGATTTGGGCCGACCTCCTTGAAGTTGCTGCGATCCCTAGACATTACTCCACTGCCCCTGCTCCGCTCGAAGGCCAATGCCACCAGTGCCGATAAGCCCAACTCCCACCGATCCTGAAACCCTGAAGCCCTACGGCCTGAAGCTACACGAGTCTCAGGCGAGAACCTCTGCCAATGTGACGGTTCAAAATCTCAGCTAACTGATGCTAAAAGATGGGTGTCGAGTTTTGACATGAGGACTTTAAGCCCTGGTCGCGCATCCTTCTGTCTGGAGGGCTGTTCACGGTTCAGGCTAGTTGGAACTCGCCCCATTGAACATTGAGAACCTTTGAGAGGCCTTTCAGCCCAGAAGCCAAGCACCGCTGCCAGGCTTCGTCGTCCGTGAGGCCGGTGCCGGTGGGCGCATCGCCAAGGACGCAGACACCGTGAGAGGTGTCAGGTTTGCCGTTCAGGTTAGGATGATGTTTTGGGGTTGAGCAGGCGACGACTAGCGCTTCAGGATGCTTCAGAGTGACTTAGGGATTCTGCCTGCTTAGTGCAGCCGTTCATGGTCTTGCTTGAAGCTCAGGTTTCTGTTGTGGAGCTGGAGGATGTTCTCTTCAGGATAGTTTCGTTGGAAGAATCCCCGACGATGGGCGTCCCCGCAGAGAAGGTATGCTACAGCGAAGCACCGTGTGCTGAGCTTTGCCTCACAGTACCGCAACTCCCAACAGCCTGGCCCCAAACACCCGAAGACCCCTAAAAT